TCTACACTCTATCCCGACACGACGCCCGTACATTTAACTGGCGATCAGAAGCATCGCAGCCGGGAGGCGCGCGCGGAAGGCACTTACCTCGTGCAGCAGGTCAGTGATCACTCCGACAGTCATTTTAAGCCCCTTTCTTTCCTCCCAGGGAAAAAGTCTCCGCTGATGATGTAGTTTCTGGTCATCAAAAGCGCTCTCCGAGAACCAACTGGAGAGGAGAGCCGCTAATTCCCCCCTTTTTCCTCCATCCATCCAGAAAAGACGGCCGTCAGCCTCCACCCCTTCGCTGGGAGAGAGACATAGGTGGGCGCTGAGGAGAGAAAGGCAGAGAGAGAGAGAGAGGAAGAGCAAGGAGAGAGAGGGAGAGAGCAAGAGGCGGAGAAACGTGTGGGTGTATCACTCCACTTGCACCTTACTGCGTGCTGGACACGGGTTTTACGCACGGTCACATCAGCGTTTTACAGACCCAACATGTCTTTTGACGTTCATCTGAGGATTTTTACATCCAATTTGGAGTGAGAGTTTTATGGTTGGGGATTTTAAAAAATCCACATCCTTACAGCTGTAAAAGAGACAGTCACAGTTCTTCCCTGTTTCTGCATGTCAGCACCGAGTGAAACATCCCAAATGACCAGCCCTCCACCACCGTGCTTCACACCTGACAGACATGTTGCCCGGTTTTTGTTTAGTTTGTTACAAACATGAGACTTCCTTCAACTTTTGGATGGGTGGATTTGGGGCTTTTTACATAAATGTGCCTGTCCTAAAATTGGACTCCATTTTGGAGCATAGCAGTTGAAAGACAGTACTTAACTCAGATAACTTTTGGTAAAGAGCTCGTTTTACTAAACTTTTTTTACACCTGTTAAAGAATCCAGGCTACATATATATATATATATATTTATATTTATATTTATATTTCAATGTTAAACCCTCATTTTGTTCTGCTGCTCTTTTCTGGTTGGGCGGTTTGACTCGATTGATCAATCAAAACCGAGAGAGGTGGACTGTTTTATAAATTGTACATATGTTGGAATAGAAATAGATTTCATGAATAAAAGATCAAACTCAGCCAAGAGCACACAACCCTCCAGGCTCTCCACCTCCAAGGAACACAAATTCGGACATTTCAGAATGCAGAAGGATTCCTCAGCGGCAGCCTTAAAACATTTATCATGAATTGATGAAGCATTAAAATATCAACAAGAATAGCCTAAAAGGTTCTTTTTTAGTACTGAGGGTCTGTTGCTGCTGTTTAGTTGCTATAAAGTATACGGTAGATTATTTATAAAAGTTAATTAGAAATGAAATGAACATGAAATTGCCATGGGTTACCCTTGAATGTAGTTAGCAAACAAAGGCGGCCGTGTCTGTTTGTCCTCGGCCTGCTGTCAGCGGATCCTCTGAGTCACAGTAGCAATGTTAGTGGGGAGAAGCGTGCTCTGCCCTTCACCTGGGTTTATTTTAATTTAGCTGAGAAACCCAGACATCTCTCTCCTCCATGGATCATCCTTGAGGGATCCCAGGGCAAAAAGGGATATGTGGTCCCTCCAGGGACTTCTGGGGCTGTCCTGGGGCTTCATGCAGGATTTGTGCAAACTGATCTTTGAGTTCACACAGAACTGTGTACAGAATCTAAAACAGCTCCCCTGTGTGTCTCGCTTTGATAAAGAGTTGTGAGCCTCGGGTTGTTTGAACTAATCACACTATGATGTTGCTTGTATAGCCGAACTGTAAAAATACCTGTCCACCATGGTTAGCCGCTAGCATATGCGTCTCAGCCTGCTATTGGCATGACAACAGCACCTTTGTCTTGAGCTTATTCATCTAGCAAGCAAATGGTCTACCTGCACGTGCACAGAAGAGCTGTGCATATGCATAAATGAGGCTGTGGATTGCCCATTTGGGCACGGTTCCAAGTCTACCATCATTCTCACCCAAATTTTAAGCAAATTGTTCAAATTAAATGATTTTCTTTACAATGAGAAAAAACAGTGCTCCCATTATGGAGCCTTTAGTGTAACAGTTTTCTGTGGTTTTGGCTTCATCTGCTCGCAGGGTCTGGTGGGAGAGACTAAGACACAAATAGTGTAGCCGAGTGGAGGAACTGAGTGTGTGTAATTTGGGACATGAGATAAGGGGATGACTTGTTTCATGACCCAGTTCGGACAGATCTTCAGTTGTCAGGCAGATGGCCTCCACTGGGACTCTAAATTACTTTGGTGCAGAGGAGCTCACAGCGGACCTCAATGACTGAAAGATCCAGGTACTGTGTCTGAAAAACAAGCCCAAATCATTAAACCTCCCCCACCATGCTTTACAGTTGGTATGAAGTATTCTGAGTTTGGTTTTCACCAAACGTGTGTGAAAAGTCTTTGTCACTGTGGTATACTGGACTTCAAAGAGTTTAGAAACAGCCTTGTTACCCTTCCCAGGATATTGGGCAGCAGCTTCTCCCAGATCTTTGCTGATGTCTTTCCTCCTTGGCGTTGTCTTAGCGCATAGCTGAATGCTCCATTCAAAGTTTCCAGTTTTATGGAGGCGCTCACACTTCAGTGATGAAGTACTTTCCTAATTCTCATGTGTTCAGTTTTTGATAAATGGATATGGTAGGGCAATGTGTTTAGCATTCACTGTGATATTTACTAAATGTTGACAAGAGATTTTGAGAATCTCTGGTTTGAGGGTGTTTTCTTTTTGAACCCTTTAACATCCTGCTCAACCATCTAGTAGAGCACATTTTTCAATGATTATATTTTCCTAGGATCCACTAGAGGAATTCTGCTTACCTAAACTCAGTCAAAAATTAAGTTTAGGTACGTGATGCCTTAATTAAGCGTGAGTTTCTTCTTTTTTTTCAAAAGTAACACCTTTACCTAACTTTGAAAAAAGCATTTTTTCTAGTTGCTATTGCTCTAAAGAAATCTTTTCCCCTCCTTTTTCCTAAGCCTAGATGTTAAATGGTGATGTGACAGTCATATATTATCTGGGCCAGAGCTCATCTAAAATGGAGAAATCAATGGAAAACTAAGACAAATTTAACATTAGCGCTCTTGAAAATGGCAGCTAGCATATGAAAGCTGAAAGTTATCATACAGATTCTGTATTTCTGAGCCACACGCTGTGTTTGTTGGCGCTGCTTTCTTTGTCAGCCTGTTATTTGGCCTACTGAAGAATTTGTTTTAGCCTCGTACAACATGGCTGTAGTATGAGTGGGGGGGCTGTCACACATGGCACTGACCTGCCCTCTGGGAGGAGGCACAGAAGCCTCCGCTCCCACACCAGCAGAGTCCAGCAGAGCGTCCAGCAGAGCGTCCAGCAGCTTCTTCCACCCGGCTGTGAGGATGCTGAACTCTCTCCCCTCAGCTCCACTGAAGCCATCAGGAAGCCGATGATGCTGAACTCTCTCCCCTCAGCTCAATCAAGGCTATCAAGAAGGAAAAGACTAAAAAAAAACTCTTACTCACCCTGCCCTCTCCTTCCAACACAGAGGGCACACACTCTGTTGTAGAACATGCTACTTTCTTCTGCTGCTACTTTTACGAATGTTAGTTTATTTAATTAATTTTTGCTCTACTCAGCTACCTCTAACATTTCTTACCCTGTGAATATCCTATCTGTTGTGTGTCTTTAGTCCCTAGTGTGTGTATATTAGTCTCTAAGTTGTAGTAAATTTTAACAGTAATCCGAAATGGTTTATTTCATAAATATGAATTTAAAGATAGATGATGGAATGAAGGAATAAAATACTTATTAGCTGTTCAGCTATGCCTTATCACGCACTTCTCATTACAGTCCCAGTATGAATGAAAATCAATAATGGAAATAATTGGTATTGGCTGTCAACCACCGGCTAAATGATCATCTTTACCATCAGTACAAGTTCCCCTTTGAGAGTCTCTCACTGTTTTCAGTTCAATATCTTTATTACTCGCATTTCTCAGCCACGTGCTTTCATGAGTAAAAGAGGAAGATGTATCTATTTTATTTAACAGCTTTATTTTTACCATAAAAATGACATGTTTGGTTTTTTCACTGCTACCCCCCCCCCCAAACAAAATACTTAAAACTACAGAACAAGAGCTTCCTAGAAGCCAACACAAACAAGATAAATAACAATATAAAAACATTATAAACAATGCAAAAATGACATTGCAGAGTCAACATCAGGAGGTCTCCAGAGGAGGAGTGGAGCGTCTCTCCTGTTGGACGTGGGATTAGAGCATAAACAAAAACACGTTGGCTGTCTTAGTGGAGATCAATGTAAAAGCTCAATTCAACACTGTCACGCTCTATTGTCAACAAACAAGGGTGCGATACCTTCACTTAAGATTAATAAAATATCTTTGTTACAATCACAAGGTGCTCAATGTCTGTTGTCAAGTACAGTAGGACTATAAATGCCAAAATGCTGTCGTACAAAACAACTGCTGAGTTAAACTACTGAATTAGAGTTGATATTCTCCCTGATAGTGACAATAAGAAACGCTCTATTTTCTACTGAAAACTGCAGACCACTACTTCACATAGTCGATACTGTGCAACAAATCTTTATCCTTCTGACCCCTCACAGGTGATATTCTGTGTCCAGCTACCACCTGACCTCCAATAAATCTTTACACACACACACATACACAAACACACACACACACACACTCCTCAGGAGGCTGTATCATGAAAATATACTGTCACAGTTAAGGCTGCAACAAAACCTATCATAAAATATACACATTTCACTTTAATTGACTCACCTACAATATTCAAAGCAAGTAAAAATATTCATGACGAGATCGTTTCTTCAAAACGTTGGCCCGCGGAAATGTGGCGAGACGCAAAAGCCGTGGGGGTGAAGCTACATTGAGGCTGATAAATCGGGTGCCAATGAATGAACCACACGTTTGGGATATCACGGGATAATTAGCTTAACTGGCGTTTCAATTTGATACAGGTCGAGTCACTCACTTAGGCTAACACAATCAGCGGCCGTCCCTTGCCAGTTTTCTAACAGCCAAACACAAAGAGGCCCCGCATCCAAGCACTAAATGAGATCTAAAGGCTAAAAGTGCAAGTTGTGAAAGGAGAAAAAAAAAAGGGTGAATGAGATAAGATTTTGTGTATGTGTTTGATGCATTAACCGTTGGATTTAAGAGGAGCTCTTTGATCAAAAAGTGAAATCCCAACAGGCTGTCTCCATCCTTTAGTAGTTATGGGTTGAAATAGTCTGTGTCAAGCAGGCGAGCTTTGCTTTTTAGATCAGCCAGCTGCGGAAGCAGCCTTTCGTTCATGCTGGATTTGCATAGCTGAGATTGAAAAATGGCGTATGGAATTGATGTGAGTGTAGTTAGTTCTCAGCCCTACCAGGAGCGTGGAGGCTGAAGACGGGACCTGACAGCCAGCAGAGAGAAGCAGCCCAAATCTTTCCTGCAGGCCTCTGTAAATTCTTAGTGGGTGAGGACGCTAATGGAAAAAGTGAATCTGTCAGATGCATAACAGTCGTCTTCACTTTTGTCTGAGTCGGAGTTCCCTGTATCTTGTGGAATAAGCAGGGATAAAAAGAAGACCTTAAAGAGCGATGACAACGTCGGGTTGAGGTCAGCAGACATTTCCAGGCTTGTTACACTCTGAACTGGAAATGCTAGCTTTTCTTTTCTTCTGATTGGCGCTGGCGACGGGGAGGAGAATCTAATTGAGGAGACGATACTTGCAGCATGATTTAAAGGGTATTGTTTTTAAGACATCAGCACAAAATATTGGCAACTTGAATAGAAAAGTCGGTGTGGACCGCGTTCGGGTAAGTGGACGTCCACCTGTGCTTTGGTCCCCTCACCACCAGGTGATCTTGAATTCGTAGATGGGCCTCTTGCAGTAGTAGTGGTTGATGAGGTGCTTGTCGCAGACGCCGATGCACTGCTGCTCGGCGGCGATGCCGCGCTCGGCCAGGTCGCTGACGATGCAGTGCAGCAGGTCGTAGACGTCGGCCACCGCCTCCCACGGCCCGAACGACACGTCCACCTCGCAGTGGTGCTCGAAGAGCTTGGCCTCGCTGTCCGAGCGCTCGAAGCGCAGAGAGTTAAAGAGGGGCCGCTCGTACGGCGTGATGGGCATCTCCTCTTTGTAGACGCAGATTTTCAGCTTGGCGAAGCGAGCCTTTTTTTGCATGGCCCGCAGTTTGGCGATCTCCACAATGCGCTCCAGATTGTCTGAAATGAGAGCGCTGACAATTATTCATATGTAATAACACACATACTGAGGCTACCAGCTGGTAATTGGGTGTCTGATGCTGCTACTTGAGTCCTACAAGTCTTACCCTGGTCCTGCCTTTCATCTGTTTCCTTTTCATATATTGACAGATCTACATGTTGCTACGATCAGATCATTAAAGGTGACAGCTGGCATATTTGCTACATATAATTATCATTATTATCATTATTATTATTGTTTTTTACGAAAGCGTATTAAGGCCACATTTTAAAAAAACTGGTTATAAAATATGGTGAGAATTAATTATGAGAATAAATGAGTAAATATTCTATCCTGTTTTAGAAAATGAGAGTTGATAATATGAGGGTCGTGACGCATGGAATTTGTGAGATAGTTAATCTTTTGGCACATCAGAATCAGATTGCCATAAGTATCACAATGGTTAAAAGAACATGCAACATCTTTTCAGCAGAAAGAACGAGGCGGACTTGTAGGAAATCGCTCTTTTTGTGGAGGGGAAATGGCTGGAAGTGGTCGGCTGCAGGGTTATGCGGGCCATTAAGAGAGATTTTATTCTCCCCATATTCTCTTAATCTTGTAAAAAAATATATATAAATGTGGCCCTAATACTCCATAGTAGTTTTTTCATTGTTTTTATATTATCATAATTGTCGTTTTTATTTAGTTTATTTGTAATGCACATTTCCTGTACAAGAAAATCCAAACTGTTTCCACTTTTGGGGCATTTGGGCATCCACCTACCTCTGTAGTAGGGCAGCAGATCAAGGAAAGCTTGCCTGACTCTCTCCCCTGTGAGCGGCTGGATGTCCTCCAGCCGGTCCAGCAGCGGGCCGATGGCGTAGTACTGAGCCTCCCTGTGCACCGCTCTCACTCGGTCCTGGTGAGGAAGCTCGCCTTCCCTCAGGAAGTTCAGGATGTCCCTTGGAGTGGAAACGTTTACATTTAGGACTTTTAACAGATCCTCTTTTAAACACACAGCCCTCTCTAGTGCCGATCACTGGGTTCGGCAGAACGCTTCCTGTTGGTGGCTTTTTATTCATAGCCAGGTGCTGCAACACTGTGAGATTTTATGAGAACTTCTTATTTGTATACATATTAAACCTGCCAAAGAAACAGAAAGCAGTCCCACTACAGACTGCAGACAGCAGACATCATGGGTTTCATCTCCTGATCAACACAGCCTGTGTTTTTTCCCCTTTACTTTTTGGGTAATGGCTTTGCTGATTTGGGACTTTTGTACTGTGGTCTGGCTGTTAGCTAACCAGACTGCTTCCCAGTGAATAGCCCTTGAATAAAGTTGGGATTTTTTTTACTATTCCTGTTCCTCCTCAGATCATTACTGTATTATATTCCATTTTATTTTCCTGCTGCCTGTCCCCACCTCCGTAATTCTGTTATACTCAGTCAGTTTCAACCACTGGTATGTTTGTTATTGTATAACATTTAGCATACAGAGGCTCAGCTGTTCCACCTGTTTCATCCAAAATACTTAAGCAGAAAACTAACATCACCATGTTGGTAACACAACAGAAAATGTGTTTTTTTGTACAGCTACTACATAGACTCCATTAGCATTACTGCACTCAGGAAGCCAGCCACTTTACTACTGCCTATGTATGGCTGAGTCCTTTCTCTACAGATTGCCAGGAAAATGGCTGAAATGTGCAATAATTTATCTAAATGTGCACAAACACAAATAAAAACACGGAAAATGCAGTGCAAACATCTTTAGGACATCTCTTAGAGCTTCACTGGTACAAAAATATGAGATTACGTCATTTTCTGTGGGTGCAACAAAGCTGCTGCTGTCAGAGGAGGTAAAGATTAAAAAAAAAGAGAAAACTAAATGCGTTTTTTGTTTTTTTGCTAAGTTCTGCATAGAAACAACACAGTTTCGTCCAGTGAGCTAAGTGCCTTTTTTATGCATGAATGACTCACAGGCCAGTATTAAATGAACAACCAACAAACAAACATTCTGAAAAGGCTCAGGTTGAGGGACTGGACCGATAATAAGTGGAAGAGCCTCAAAAAGAACTGCCGATGAAAGCCACTTTGGATGATTAAAGAAAATCTGGCCGTTTGGGATGAAATAAAGAAATGAGGGGTCGACTGAGACATTTTAGGTAAAAACTGACATCTGCTCAAATGATCCCATCAGATGTGCCAGAGTGAGAAAAAAAACCCGAATGGCATCAGTCTGTCCCTGACGACTGAACTAAATCAGATAAACTGTCTATCATGGGCTCCTGAGGAATGTTAATCAGTTGTTCATATACCTGACACAGCTTTTTCTCTGGATTAACTCTGTCAATCTTCTTCCTTACTTCCTAAATAGTCCATTTCTGGCAGCTAACTTCATCTGCAGCCGAGTGTTCTCTGTGTAACCACGCTGCTGCTCGCCTTCTCCAGATGATTATATGTTAAAGGGCTCTGCTGACACCTTGTTAACCCACACATCTCAGCTCCCTCCAGGCTGGGGCAGGACTCAGAATACATGCACATATCTACACGCTCTGCCGACAAAGTAGATTTTTAAAAATCTTTTTAGTCCATTTCAGCTTCCCTACTCCAAAAACGGGCAGACTTGTAAATATCCGAGGATGCAATGCCGCAAAAGACAGAATCAGGCTGCGGAGGCCTGCGCAGGAAAAGCTGCTGCAGAGCCCTAAACAACACCTGAGATGATTTATGTTCCGCTCAGACAATAGGCCGGCCAAACACACAGCTGCCTAATAAAATCCCACATGGAGAGAGTTTTCCGAGTCCCTGAACATGTGCAGAGAATGTTCACTCCTCGTCTGTATTTTTCAACATAACACACCATATGTTCCTCTGTCTCCTTGTGTTTAAACCTTTAATTAATCACAGGACACACACTTCACGACAGACCAAAGCCCCCATAAGTTACATAAATCTATTCTGCTATTCTCTTCTATTTGCTATAACATTAAATTTGAAAGAAATTTGCTTTTCCTTTCCATTCAAACTCCCCAGAGTTTGGAACTCGGAATTTGGACATCCCTTCTTTGGTGATCAAGTGCCAGCTGACGAAATTAGCAAAGATAAAAGCCAAAAGTTGTTTCCATCCCTCCATTCATCTATTATCTATACCACTTATTCCTAGAAGGGTTGCAGGAAGGGTGGAGCCAATCCCGGCTGACACAGGGTGTCATGTGATGGAACGGCAACCCTGGTCCATCACACAAAGACAAATAACACACACACACATCCTAAGGGCAATTTAGAGCGTTCGATTAACCTAACGTGCATTTTTTTAGACAGTCGGAGGAGACACGGGGTAAACATGCACACTCCACACAGAAAGGTCCTGGCCCCCATATTAATAATTGCTCTGGTGAGCCCGACTTGTTTGCCTTAGACTTTACTTCACACCCCCATAACAGCCAAACTAAATTAATTCTCATTAGCAGTTGTATTTTGTGTGTAGTGCTGATAGGCAGGCTCTCAGGAAAAACCCAAACACTGTCTGTTTTTTTTTTAAGGGACATATTTGTTTTTGTTTTTATCTTATTTGCATTTAAAGACTGAACTATATTCTGTGAACATTTATAACCTCTGTGATAATTTTTCAACTTCATCTGTCACCATAATATGTAGCTAAAATAGTTTTTCCATGTTTTACTTGGGTGGGAAAAAAACCCAACCACTGTAGAGAAGTTGTCATTTGATTTGAGCAATTGAGACTCTTGATCCCGTTGGGGGGTCACTTATAAGCACGGAGGAAATCAGTTGTTTTTCCAGTGGTTTCCCTGTTGAGCTGGAGTGAAAAGCAGACCCTTATCAGCATAGGTGTTCTCAGATAAGGTGTACATTTTCAGGCAAGCTGTCCACGGATACTTTAATAAAGTAACAAGTGCCTCACATCAACACCAATTGTAGGGTTTACAAGCTTGGAAATATATAGGGAACCATTTATTCCAACGGTTGTGTTTGTTTCCAACCCTATTTAACCATTTTACATGACATTAATCATAGTAGAAAATAGCCATACAGCAATTTACTATTGTGTACTGTTAATTGGAAGCTTGCTTTTAGTCTTTATCTGCTTTTCCCTGATGGACAATGACAAGAGCACCAAAAGGTAACAAAAGGCTGCAGCTCAGACAGACTTTAAGATCAGGCCAACCCCACATAAATCATTAAAAGCAGGTCTATCAGGTAACAAACAGCCAGTTAAGCCAGTCAAGAACGACAGAACCAAAACACACCTATAAATTAGGCAACGGCTGACTTAACGGTCAAGTTGGCTTCACTGAATGAGGATAGAAAATACCTGTTTGGTCATAAAGAGATGCCTCCTCAAACTGCAAAGCAAGGACCTTCATTCTTCATCATACTTGTTATACAGCGGTACTCAAACCTACTGGATGCCATTTACTCTCAGAATTCATCTCGATCCGTTATCGTTGCTTGGTGTCTTAAACCAGGTTCCTCTGAGGTGCTTCTTACCCAAAATATCCTCCATCCCGATCAATGAAGTAGCGCCCCTCTGCATCTCGAGGGATGTAATGCCGCCCGCTGAACATGGCGGCCAGCATGGTGTCCTCATATCGCCGGAGGGTGGACAGACGGGTGGTGAAGTACGTGCCCCCAACGTTCAGAGAGATGACCTCAGGAAACTGTCAAACGAGAAATAAAACAAGTCAGAAACAACACAGCGTGACACCGTAACACTTATAAGTCTCAGACAGGGAATCAGCAGTTAAAACCAAAATGCTTCTAAGTTAGAGACAATTATGCATTGGTCACATTAGTTTATCTGATCCAACAATGCACTTTCATAAAGAGAGACAAAAACTGCTTCATAAAACTGTAATTATAAATCACTATCATAAACACACTGGTATTCTAATTGTTTAGATAGATAGATAGATAGATAGATAGATAGATAGATAGATAGATAG